ACTGGGGGTGAGTGTTCTGTGAGCCTTAGATAATAAGGTGGGTGGAGAAGTGATTGTAGATGATGGGAGAATGTTTCTGTACCGGTTGATGCTGGTTGGGATGCATGGGATGCCTTGTGGGAGGCAAGTGCACATGGTTTGTGCTGGGAGTGCAGGTAGGACAGTAGTGGGTAGGTAGTAGAGGATGGAGAGATGCCAAGAACAGCAAGTGCATGCATATGCTTGCTGAGTGAGGCTGTGCGCATGCCAGAGTGTCAAGGATGTCATGACAAGCATGCAAAAGTGCTGGAAAGTGTGCAGGATGGATGGTGGCCAGTGCATAGGTGTGGTTGTAGGCAGGGCAGGGGTTGTGAAAATGGCTAAGTCCCTAAAAGTGTAGGGCTATGCCCAGGATGGTAGGGTTTTATATTCACTTTTGACTTTTGCCACTCACTCAGACCCATTTTTATCAAAAGTGCCAGGATTTCGCGTGTTCAAAGTTCCATGGGGTTTTTGGGTGGATATCAGTGGCCTTTCCTACTACATGAAGACTGAGATCAGGCAACTGAGAACAGGCTTCTAGGCAATGTTTGAAGCATGCATGTACTAGCTACATGCAAAGTCTCGCATTGCTAGGTCTGCTTATGCGGGCTGAAACTACTGGGAACAGCCTTCAGTTGGTGAGTTCTCATGTGCAGTACTGTTGGAGAGCTTCGAGTGGGCAACAAGACACATGCAGAATGGGCATCTGGGTTGTTACTGGTGCAGAGGTGTTAGTTCATCTAGACAGCAGGACGGTGGCCATGGAAGTCGGAATCCGCTAAGGAGTGTGTAACAACTCACCTGCCGAATGAACTAGCCCTGAAAAGGGATGGCGCTCAAGCGTGTTACCCATACCTCACCGTCAGCGTTTAAGTGACGCGCTGACGAGTAGGCAGGCGTGGAGGTCAGTGAAGAAGCCTTGGCAGTGATGCTGGGTGAAACGGCCTCTAGTGCAGATCTTGGTACCTCGGTCTAACTGCAACTGGGAAGGAATCAGCTCGAGATATAGCAGTTGAATGATTCTATGTGACGGTTGAGCTCTAAGCTCCTGTCCTCTAATCAATCACTGTTACTCGACCCAAGTCGGGTTGCTACTTTTATAGTAGTAGCCTGCACGGTTGGAAAAGTGGACTAATAACCGCTGGTTAAACTCTAGTCATTAAACAGTTGGAGGTTCGTCTTGGCAAGGTGTTCGCATCTGTCAATGATAGTCTTCACTTGGGTTTTGAAGGTCGCTTGGAGAAAGGTTCCATGGTAACAGCAGTTGGACATGGGTTAGTCGATCCGATTTACAATCTGTAACAAACATCTGACTGTCTACTTCGGTGGACTAGTCCTGGTTGTTGGCTCGCCCACACCAGCTCGAGATAGTTACCTGGTTGATCCTGCCAGTAGTCATATGCTTGTCTCAAAGATTAAGCCATGCATGTCTAAGTATAAACAAATTCATACTGTGAAACTGCGAATGGCTCATTAAATCAGTTATAGTTTATTTGATGGCTTCTTGCTACATGGATAACTGTGGTAATTCTAGAGCTAATACATGCTGAAAAGCCCCGACTTCTGGAAGGGGTGTATTTATTAGATAAAAAACCAATGACTTCGGTCTTCTTGGTGATTCATAATAACTTCTCGAATCGCATGGCCTTGCGCCGGCGATGCTTCATTCAAATATCTGCCCTATCAACTTTCGATGGTAGGATAGAGGCCTACCATATGGTGTTGACTCAATGTGATTTCTGCCCAGTGCTCTGAATGTCAAAGTGAGGTGATTCATAATAACTTCTCGAATCGCATGGCCTTGCGCCGGCGATGCTTCATTCAAATATCTGCCCTATCAACTTTCGATGGTAGGATAGAGGCCTACCATATGGTGTTGACTCAATGTGATTTCTGCCCAGTGCTCTGAATGTCAAAGTGAGGTGATTCATAATAACTTCTCGAATCGCATGGCCTTGCGCCGGCGATGCTTCATTCAAATATCTGCCCTATCAACTTTCGA